AAAAACTCATTCCGAGCTGCATCTATTTTTTGCCAGGGACTGCAAGACAGTCAAGCGCTCGTTCAACATGGAGTACGTTCAACAAATGCGACCAAACAAACCAGCCGTCGAAAAACGTGTTGCACATGTCTCTCAACGGGGTTCAAATCTGGATCCAAAACAATTGTGGACTGCAAAGGTCCAGTCGGTCCAGTGGTCCTGCAAACGGTCACCACATGTCACCACCTACAGTATTTGTGGCTGTGCCTTCTGCGTGGAGACTTTGCCTTGACACAAAACTCTCCAAGTGGAATGGCAAAGACACTCGTGGTGCAATTGCAGGGAGAATCCTTTCTGTATCAAGTGAAAGGATGGAGACGGTCTCGTTGAGACATAGTGGGCTGGACCCAATCTGTGTAACATGTTGGATTAAAAAACAACTGCTGATGTTGAATACGATCTCACGCTACTCATATACACCTGGCTGGCATTCTGAAAGATTTCTGAGACATGCACGCATAATACTATTGACTCCTTATAAGTTTTAAGAGTTAATTATTGACTACTTATTGAAGCTCCTGAAAAGGATTGAAAAGGCATTGTCATTGACTCTATCAATTCCAGGTGATCCTCTCAGTTCGGAGCCCAAGAAACCACGCGAAAACCGCCGGACTGCCGCGCGTTCCGGATTCTGAGAGACGGGCGACAGAAGGAGCCAGGGCCAGAAGGGTCAAGGCCAAAGTTGGAAGCACCTGGTGCGACTTGCTGGGAAAAGCGCTCCATCAATGCGATGGAGCGCAAGATCTGCGCTCCCCCAATTTCTCATCATGTGTGAAACCAGCCTGAAGAGCAAACATTTAATAGCTATTAAATTAATTAGCCAGTTCACCAGTTCGTTGAACTCGGGTTGAGAAGCTTTCCGATCTTCATCTTCTGCAACTTCACTTCGATGCCTTTCGCATGGCTCAGCAACACATCCGTCTCCCGTGATTTCGACGACGTCTTCAGCACCTGACTCGGTCCGACCGGCTCGGTTCCCACGTGACTCGGTTCCCACGCCGTGGCACGTGAGCGCTCTGGCACCTCAGTTCCACCGAACGTCGAACCGGGCGGCCGAACGCGGGGTCGAACGCGGGGTCGAACGCTGCTCCGGACTGATCCACTGATCGGAAGGATGTTCGGTGAGCGACGAACCAAACGAACGTCCAAACACGAGCGACGAACCTCCCCAACCACAAGCATGACACGGGTTCTCCTCCCTCCAATCGGAGCTTCTGAACCCGAGTCTCTGAGGAATGACGACGTGGCTTTCCGCAGGACTCCCATGGCCTTCCCGTGCCTTCCTGGGCTTTCCGGACACATGGCCTCGCAGGACTCGCGGGACTCGTGAGCTGTCGACTCGCCTTGGTTTTCGACGTCAAAGGCCGGACGTCGAGGACCCGAAGCGCGGAGACGTTGCGCCAAGGCGTTTCCTGGGGGAAGGACCATGGTCATGTAGCCCAGGCAACAAAAACTTTGAGCGGGCTAGCAGCTGAGGATCTTGTTGGCTTGATATGGAATATAGTGAAGGATAGTAAAGGCAAAGATCTGCACATACAACAAAGTTCCCCAACCAACTACAGTAGTACTTCTGGTCTTGTTCAGGAGCGAATGTGTCACCTTCATCTGCCTGGAAGCCTCATGACATTCATGGCTTCCCTGCTTGTGACCTGTGTTGCCAAACAAAAACGGCAACAAAGTGAAACACTCTGCCGTCCGGGCTCTCGAACGGGTCCCGCGGGTTGGAACCGGGGAGAGATGAAGGTCGTGTGGCAGAACTGGAAGACCTGGGAGCCGCGGCGAACTGGGAAGTAACAAGCATCGTTTTGGGGCGTTTCTGGCCAAAATGCATACACATCATACAACAAATGCACCCCTTGGGATTTTTTGGGGGGGGTATGATGTTGTGATGAGATGTGGACATGACAAAAGAGAAAACATGAGACAACAAGATAAAACAAGCATATAATCAAAGACAATATAAACTTGAACTTTGAACCAGTGTCATCCCCTTTCCCAGAACTCCACCCACCTCCGGTTCACCACGAGTTTACCAACACAAGACTTCCACAGGGTCTGGCGGATGAAAATATGCTTCACCTGCCACTGCTTCGTCCCACCCGCTGCCCCCCGACTGCTTCAAGAGATGGGGCAGGAATCACCAGCGGCGAAACAGACATGAGCATGGGGCTTCCCAGCAGTGGCCTCTGAAAAACTCATCCCAAGCCACAGGATGGTTTGGGAAATGAGAACTTGTCTTCCATCACGCCAAAATGTGGCTATAGTATGCTAGTATGCTTGTGTTTCATGGGTGACCTATGCTGAAACATCGGTCGGTCATTGCTTCTGGGTCTTGTGTTGGCGCTGTTGGAGGTCTTCCCAAACCTATCATTTCGATTCGCTTGGGTGCATGATTCGATGGGTTTCACGCGCGGCATCTCTGGTTCTTTGAGTCTTATTGATTGACCCGACCCCACATCGAAACAAACCCGAACGAACTTTGGATCATCCCAAAGTGATCCGAAACAACTCGTCCCAACTTCCAATGCTGAGGGCATCTGAGGGCAGCACCAAAATGCCTAACAGGACACCAACCTCAGCATGATGGACCATCTGATTTCTACGTGGCATTCCAAGTCGCTCTTCCACCACAGGTCCAGACCTGTTCTGGCTGCCAGGGCTCCCCCCAATGCTGCCCTTCCAGGAGAACCATACAGCACAGCACAGCTGCTCCAGTCGTCATTTGTTTGCTCCAGTTGTGCCTTCTCTCGCCCTTCGGCTTCTCCGTACATGGATGGAACACTTATTGCGCAGCATTCCACTGTCACTGTGGATCCACATACCTTCTCAGAAGGTACTTGGACCCTCCAAGCCTACATAAATAGTCTCCAAATACCTTCAACTGAGGAGGTACTTGGATCCATAGGGTGTATCAATATCAAATTGTGAACAGTCACTGTGCTGTTGGCACTTGGCAAGTGTTCTGTTCGCATGAGTGGCGGACAAACTTCTTCGTGTCTCCAATGCCAAAAGTCTTTTTGGATTGCCCCGGCTGGCCCCTATCGGTTTCCAGTATTTTGGATTGCAAGCAAGGACGGGTATCGGTATAGGGTTGGCCCCTATCAGTTCCGCAAGGTGTTCATCAATTCAGAACACATCATTGCCCATACTTCAAGGCGGCTCACTACTAAAGTACAAGTACGGAAGTGTTGTCGAATGCTCCCATGGCTCACGCTCACGAGCAGCCGATGGCCCCCCAGGGCTCCACCAGAGGCATGTGTATCAAAAAGAAATTAATTACTGAATCAAAAAATATTATTTACGTAATCAACAACAAGTTAATTAACTAATCAAAAAATACTTATTTTCCTTTCCCGTCTCTTGTATGCTTGCTCCTGGTCCACATGGTCGTCCTGGTCCCCTTGGTCCCCTGGTCCCCTTGGTCCCCTGGTCCCCTTG